TATTTTAGTTTATTTGAAACTTATTAAAACTTTTAATACAAATTTATTTTTATCATTTAGAAGACTAAAGATCCCCCCCTCCAGTTAGACTATAATTACAGTGTGACAGGTACTAGATTATGCTCTCAGAGCTGGGGCCTGGGTCATCATAAGCCCCCAGAGAGGAGTCAACATGCATTTGATTGCTGTTTGGGGGTTGGGAGACCCAAGTAAAACTCAAATCTCAGATCTTATTTTTATCTGACAAAAATCAGTTTTCTTTTTCTCAATAAAATAGTTCCAATACTAAGACAGCAAAAAGCTCATGTATTCTGTGTCCACTCGGTGCTTTTATAACTAAATCTATAAAAAATGGTCTATCACTCTTAGAGTTAAGCAAAGCAATGCAATGCAGCAGCCCTGTGCTGCTGTCGTCCTCAGGGTGAGCCTGAGATTCTCACTTTCCCCATGTCCCAGGACCTGGCACAAGCCAGGTGAGCACTCTTCCACTGAGCTAAGCCTAACTGTGCTTCAGCTGAGCAGTGCAGATCTCTGAGATCAGCTCCCAGATTCAGAACCTACTCACCATGCTACTTGGATGCCGCTGATGCCCCTGTGCACCCCAGTCAGAAGGTGTGGCCCCACGGAGGTGATCAAGGACAGAATACAGTGTCTTCTCCAATTAGAGGCACATAACTGTTGCGGATGAGTCGCAGTGGAGAAAATCCACATGCCTATCCCTGATTGGCATCTTTCTCTGTCTGGTGGGTCCTGATGCTTGCAGAGGGGAATGCTGAAGCTGCAAACGCGCTGTTCTCCAGAGGAGATGGAGAGAGTCTTCTGTGGGGGGTGTGGGCTCATCAGCATCCCCAAGGGAGACAGGGACGACATTCCCTCAGCACCTCTGAGCTCTGGGCAATCTTCTGAACCCACCAGGGACATTAGCACATACAGTTTGTGCCACCCAGTGTTCCAGTCCCCACAGGTCCAACCAGAAAATGAGGGCCGTGAGAATTTGTCTCCTGATAGAAAAATAATTTAATATAGCATGCAAGCAAAATTTGGGCACAGCCTGTTGTTCTAAAGACAGGAATATACAATATACAGGGGCAGATTTTCTTATTTCCCTTGTCCACAAGAATTGCTATGTGGCTTTAAAAAAATCAGTTGAGGGACAACTAGTCCAATTCCACTTAAAGCAGGCTGGCATATTTTTTCTTTTTCTTTTCTTTTGTTTTCTTTGCTTTGTTTCTTTTCTCTTCTTTTTTTTTGATTTTTAGCAACTACATTTATTTGCTCTTTTTTTCTTTTTTTTTCTTTTTTTTTCTTATTTTTTTTAAAGATTTATTTATTTATTATATGTACAGTATTCTCAGTATTCTGTCTGCATGTATGCCTGCAGGCCAGAAGAGGGCACCAGATCTCATTACAGACAGTTGTGAGCCACCACGTGGTTGCTGGGAATTGAACTCAGGACCTTTGGAAGAGCAGGCAGTGCTCTTAACCGCTGAGCCATCTCTCCAGCTCCTTTTCTTTTCTTTTTTGGTTTTTCGAGACAGGGTTTCTCTGCCTATTCTGGAACTCTCTTTGTAGACCAGGCTGGCTTCAAACTCACAGAGATCATCCTTCCTCTGCTCCCTGAGTGCCAAGATTAAAGGCGTGCACCACCATTACCCGACTAACCATACACTTTTTAAAACCTAACAGCCATTTTAAAAAACCATCAAATGATTTTTGTTTGTTTTTAATATCTATAAGCCAAAAGAGCCTGCTTTTCTAGATAGCAGAAAGATTTAGTTAAGGAGGTGGCAGGTAATCTTGTATTATTTCTTTATTTTTACTATTGAATATGGAAAAATATTGTCATAGATATGTCTGTATTTTAATTTTAGAAACTGAACTAATATCTTGAGCTCCCCGATTTCTTTAGCTGTGACTATGCACGTATTTATTGTTTCTCTGTGCTACTGTCAACAGAGTCAAGGACATCATATAGGCAGTGTTGGCTACTGAATGCCCTCCACAGACTTTTTGTTCTTGTTCCTAATGCTACTGTGTAGGGAAAAGTGATGTCACATAATAAAAACGTACAGGAAAATAAACAAAATAACAAAAAAAGGAGCCAAGTTCCTGAAATCAACAAGGCAATCCCAGAGACCAGCAGATTGAATTAGAGCCATTGGCCAAGGATTTATCAAAATGGCTGTGCAGGCACTTTTGACTGAATGTAATTACAGCTGCAGAAAATATCCCCTGCCAACAACTGTGGACACTGTGGGTCCACAATGTCCCTGGGTGAGTAGCTTCACATGTGCTGGCTGCCTACATCTTTTCCTCTTCCATGTACAGTAGAATAGAGGGAAGAAGGCCCCAGAAACAAACACCAGCCACAAAGGAGACAGGACACATTTAACAAGTTATCCAGTGCCTCCATCTTCTCTGCCCCAATGGGATGCAGGGAGTAGGAGCTGCCACTCCAAGTTGGGCTAGTGAGCAGGGCCAATGCTGCATACTTTTTTCCCCTGGTATTCCAGATTTTCAGCATGCTGAGAAAACTTGTCTATTTAGATAATTCATGTATCAAACTAGTGACTTGATTCAGGAGAGTGAGACTGGAGAAGACGATACTCATGAAATTAGTTCTGTAAAGAACTCATCTAGTCTGCTGGAAATATACGTCTCGCTCTCCACAGACACAACTCAAGTTTATAGCTTAGGACAAGTGAATCTAACGTGGGGTTGACTTTGTAATGATTCTTTATAGAGAAGAGAGTTTCCTAATTGTCAGAGCAATGTGAAGGAAACAAGAAACAGTGGAAAATGATAATATTGCAGACTAGAAAACAGTCCAGTCTGTGCTGAGAGGAATGCACAAGAGGACAGAGATGATGGGGCCTATGGATCCCAAGGCAGTGCACAACTTAACAGTGCCGTGTGGCATTGCAAGGACCCCAAACTCCAGCAGGCTTGGGGAAGCAATGTTTGAAAATGTAGCATCATCCCATCACTGGAATCTGGATTTCTCCAAAGTTGGTTCTATACTTAGATTTTTTCCCCCTGTATCTAAAATAGACTTGATATGTTTAGCACTGGGCATTAACCTTTTATTGGATAGTGACTGACTGGTTACAAATAGTATCTATATATTGCATTTTGTAAAACATTTCTGGTTGCATCATTTATTTCTCTTTCCAGGTTAATCATTTACTCATTCAACAAATATGTATTTGGTCATAACCACACACCCAACCAGTGTTTGAGATTGTAGGATTATACTGTTAATAAATATTCTGTTCCCTTCATGATGCTTACATCACACCACAAAAACAAACAAATAAATTAGTAATTAAATAAAACTTCCAAAATAAGAGTTAACTATGATGTACTGGGAGCTGATACATACCGATAAATACTATGTGGGCTAAGCAAACTCATGAGCGGGTAAAGGGGAACTGGGAAGGTGTGCTCTGGGGGTATGGAGAGAAAAGGTCTTTAGTGAGAAGCCTTTGAATGGTCTTATCAGAGAGAAGGAAATAGATGAAGAGGCACTGGGAAAGGAGAGTTGCAGGCCTAAATCACAGCTGGGGAGAAGTCTTGTGCTGGGAAGCACTTGCTTTGCTGTAGATCCACCACCGAGACAAGGTAGCTAGAGAAGAAGATAGAATTGGAGCAGAGATTGAACCTAGATCTCTGAGGGCCCAAGATCTCACCACGAAGGGTGAAGTTTTCACCAGACTCTAACCCTATTGAGAGGGTCAGTGCAGTGGTACCACTGTCTGGGGCCTGAGAGATGTTGAAGGTGAACGTGAGCAAGTAAGGGCCAGGTGGGAAACCGCAGAGAGAAGGGTGGGGGTGAAAGTGCAGGCTCAGACTGCAGCAGCTAAAGATGAAGACTGACTGGACTCTTCGCCCTTTAGAAAGCAGAGCCGCACTGTCACTGCTGAGGGACTAGAGGTGGACAGTGGGGTCAAGAACACCGTAAAGGGGTCGCTCGGTCTGAGAACTGAAGGAAAGACATTGCCGTGCACAAGATATGGGACATTTTTTTCTGATTTTAATTAGAGGAAGACTGTCCCATGGTAGGATCTGGGGCTAAGTTTTAGACAGGCTGGGCTTTAACTGCCTGTAGACTTCAAGCCAATGGTTAAATATAAGAGAGTATTGTTTGGGAGAAAGTGTGAGGATGGCGGGGAGATGGATACCCATTTAGAGGGTCTTACAGTCAATGGAGTAGAATTCCAGAGAGGATGTTGAGATCATTTCAAGGACTGGAAAGATAAGGAGACAGATCAAAGCAGGAGAGGCAAGATCTTAGAACACAGAGGATGAGGTCTTCAATGACTCATGTTAGGTTGGTGACTGACATCTTGCTAAAGGGCACTGTGAGATGGTAGAACTTAGGGACACCCCAGAGACATGAATTATGATCTCCATGGCAGAAAGGTTGGTCCTGGAACTCAGATGCACCAATTGCCTCAGTCCCAGAAAGATGGTTTCCATGACCCTGTGAGTGGTTGGCAATCCCTGGGAGACAATCATTGGTCCATTGGTCCAGGCTCTATTGATGGGCTAAACTCCCTTTCTTCCACTCAGATCATGCACTAAGATGGCTTGTGTGGTCTGTGAACTACACACAGGGACATGTGAAGACATGTCATTTCTGTCTGTAAATGAGAGATGAAGCAGAGAATTATCTGCACATGATTTTTTTAAAATTCTAAAAAGACATGTCAATAACATGATTAGAAGTAATAATGTGGATTATAAAAATATCTATGGAAAAGGAAAACATCTTGAGTTTTTAAGTAAAATTGAAGAGAAAAATAAAAATTTTGGTAGACTATTAAAGATAACTGAATTTGCCAATAATTCCTATAGGGCTGGCATTTCAGAACATGACACTTTGTAATGTTTGTTTAACACTTATTTATCAGATACAGATACAGAGAGGAGTGGTAGCAAGGGAGCCTTCAATGACCTTTAAGGGTTTTGTTAGAAAGATATAGCATTTACTTGGAAAATAAGACGAACATTATTATCACTTCATTGCCATCCTTAAATAGTATTTAAGTAAGAGTTTAATTCTGGATACTCATCAATGGTAACTTCAGAAGTCTTTGTTACACTACAAGGGTGTCATTTGGGTTTCCTGCATAGGACCCATTTCCAGAAGCTGAATCTGAGTGAGAAAGAATATTGTTTGACTGGAGTCTTAAGAACCAGTAACAGGTAAAGGGGAAGGAAGCAAGCACATGCCATTTCCATCCTGCAGAGAAGGACCTTGAATGGGAAGTCAGCTTTCAAGCCAGTTACCTAGTCATTATTAGATCCTAAAAGAAAAAAATCTAAATTCCTGAGAAATTCCTGCCTGTTTGGATACTAAGGATTGAGTTCAGGATGTTGAACAAGACAGCCAAGTACTTTACAACTAAATTACATTCTCTGACTTTGAGGTAGGATCTTGCTATGGGGCCCACATGACAGGCATGCACCACCACCAATGCTAGAGCACAGGCTTCCTTTAAAAAGCATTATTCCATGGGCTAAGCACTTGTTAGGAGCACTTGTTACTCTTACAGAGGACCAGGGTTGGTTCCCAGAAGCCACATGAGGTCTTATCATTGTTTATAACTCCAACTCAAGAAGATCTGACTCCCTCTTCTGACCTCCTTGAGCACTGCACACACACAGTGCACAAGCATTTGTAGGAACAACACCCATACACATAAAATAAGTAAATCTTTTTAAAAAACATTTAAAATATTTTAAAATAAGCAATGAATCAAAAGACAAAATGAGAAGATCTAGGAATCAGTGATGTCGGATTTAGAGTAATGAGCTTCAAAATAATTGATAACTGGTTCTAAAATACAGGAGACAGGGACTGGAAAGATGACTCAGTGGTTAAAACTGTTCGCTGCTCCAGAGAACTGGAGTCCCATTCCCAGTTCCCAGCATCCATGTTGGGCAGTCCACATCTGCCTGTAATTCCAGCTGCAGGAATCTGATGCCCTCTTCTGGCTGCGGCCAGCACTTGCATTAATGTAGCATACACATGCACAGACATATACACATGAAAAAAACTTTAAACAGAAAAGATAGAAAGTAATTGTCTGTAGTGCTAGGAAATGCAAGTGTATAAAGGAAAGACTCCGAATATATTCACCTAGAAGGAACTTTAAGACTAAGTAGGATGAGACATAAAGCAAAAGAAAGCTAGAGAATGAAATCAAGAAAGGAAAATTTAAAAAGATTCAGAATGTGGGTCTCACTAGAATAATATCAGATTATTTTGAAGTCATCTTGTTTCTCAGCAAAGCATTGTGGCACACACCTGCTCCCAGGACACTGAGGCAAGAGTTTGGGGACAGCCTAGGCTATACAGCAAGACTGCGTCTCACAAACAAAATGAACAGAAACGAGTAGAACTGATCCTCCTAAATCCCATTACAGGAAATGTTGAGGCTGAAAGGACAATACATTTAATTCTAGCTTATTACTGTGAGCATGTACCAAGGAAGAACGAGACATCTGGTAAGGGAGTTTGATGAGCCTGCTGCCATCTCTGCCATTTGCTCCACATTCGTTCCTCAGTGTGTGAACCACTTTGGATCCACTCCCTAGTCCCCACAGGAGAATTTCCACAGAACCTGCAGAGCTGTCGCGGCTGTGGTTTGTTGAAGCAGAGCACAACCATGATGGTCATCCACCCATGGCCCCTGTGAAGCACAGCACGTCTGGGTGGTTTTAGCAGTCCTCGCTTCTAACAGTAGCAGCAAGATCAAGGAGACCTCTGGGGGTCCAGTTTCCAGGCCCTGCTTCTGTCATGGGTGGCAAGATAAGAGGAGTCGCGTCACAGACAAAAAAGTAGGGCCTGAGAATGCCGGAGAAGAGATGGCTGAACGTGTAGATGTAAGACCCATTCGTGATGTTGTAGAAGGAGACTTCACCTGCTTCGTAGTCCAGAAAGATACCAATGCGGCGAGGTCGCTCATCTTGTAGGGTAGGCACCGAGGGAGAGGACAGGACCATGTACTCGCTTCCCCTCAGCAGCCACATGGCCCAGAAGCCGTTCTCTGGAGATGGTGTGGTTTCCCCCTTTCTCGGCACTGAGTCTTGGCAAACCCCCAGGCCCCACTCTGCTCCTTCTCCTACGATGACTTCCCAGTAGTGCCTCCCAGAGGAGAAGCCCTGCAGGCCCAGGATGCAGGGCCAGGTGTCAAAGCGCTCAGGATTGTTTGGGACATCCCTCCAGACCTCCGCATCCTGCACACTGCGCAGGTCGGCTGTCAAGAGCAGGCTTGGGTGGGCAGTGGCGGGATCCAGCTTCACGTCCACTGTGGAGTTTTACCAAACATGAGAATGAGCAGAAAGGCCTAGTAAAACCTTATGCTTCCCTCCTTCCCTCCTTCCATCCCTCCCTACTGTGCTTAGGTTGGACCCCAGGGCCTTGCATAGCATCACCAAACTTCAGTTCCAGCTGGGGAAAACTCAGGCACCACTAAGAACCCTCAAACAGTTTCTCATTTCTCTCACCCAGAAAAGCTGACCCTAGCAAAAGCCTTGATTTGGGCCTCACAGAATTCTGCTGTACACAATGGAACTTGCATTGTTTAGTAATACAGTGAAATCCATTGCTTTATGTGCAAAGGAGAAATAAATAAACAGGAAAGTACAGAATGTGTGACCTTCAGACTGCTAACCATATAGAGCTTCCTGGAAGGAGGAGTCTGGCGTAGGAAGGGGTAGGGATGGGGCAGAAAAAGTTGAGCCTCTTCTCCTTGCTTCTTACTCATCTTTTCTGTCTGCCTGTTCCTCTGCTTCCTCTGTAACTCTTTCACAATAAATGACAAGTGGTACTTCCCTGTGTTCTGTCAGCAGGCCTCACGAATTAACTGGATTAATTGACCCTGAGGAGGGGAGTCCTAAGAAACTCTACTGACCACTGATCAGTCACAAGTACAGGCCAGGACCGGTCAACAGCAATGCTGTTCTTGCAGCCATTTAAAGATGAGTTAACACAATACTCAAACAGTTCTATAAATAGAAAGGGAAAGTATGCTACCAAACTCATTCCATGGAACCAGGATCACCCTAATATCAAGTCCAGAGAGGGGCACAGTGGAAAACTACAAACTTCCCTGATGAAAATGATGCAGGCAATTTCACTCAAATACTTTCAAACCAAATTTAAGAAAACATTAATAATGCCACACTCCATTGCCATGTTGGTTTCATTATAGCTATGAAAAGATAGTTCAATAAACAGTACAAGTAACCCAGCTGTGTTGGCTAGTCTTATGGCAACTTGACACAAACTAGAGTTATTTAAAAGGAGGGAACTTCAGTTGAGAAAAATGGCTCCAAAAATTCGGTTGTAAGGCATTTTCTTAATTAGTGGTTGATGGGGAAGGGCCAAGCCCACTGTGGCAGGTACCATCTGTGCATTGGTGGTTCTTAGTTCTATAAGAAAGCAGGCTGGACAAGCCAGTAAGCAGCAACCCTCTATGGCCTCTGCATCAGCAGCTGCTTTCAGGTTTCTGTTCTGCTTGAGTTTCTGTCCTGATTTCCTTTGATAGTGAACTGTGATATGGAAGCACAAGCAGAATAAACCCTCTCCTCCCCAACTTGCTTTTGGTCATGAAATTTGATCACAGCAACAGTAATCCCAACTATGACACCAATACATAAATTAACCTAAGGTCAGAACTCACATGGTCATCTCAACAGATACAGGAAAGACCTTCAATGATACTGATTGCCCATTCATGATGCTAAAGTCAGGAACTAACTAGCAGCCTCCTTATAACAAATTGGTGCGTCAACATGATCAGCTAAAACCCACATAAAACCTGAGAAATCTTGGAAAGGAACTCTAGACACACAAAGAAGTTAAGCTTCATTTTTTTTTCAGCTGGTAGCATGCCACAGTTCCCTTAAGAGAGGTTTTCTTGATTCAGCGGTAGCAGAAAAAAGCCACATAGTTTTGAAATGGCAACTTCCTGGGCTGAGCTGCCAGCATGAACTCTGGCTCTTTCAGGAGGCTGAGCATTTAAATGGGGTGTATGAGCAGTATGCTGTAAGTTACTTGGCAGCATGGCAAGTTACATGGGTCAACTGGTTATCAGAGTTGAGGTGGTGGGGAAGGCTCCCACCCGACAGTCTCAGAGGCAATGAATGAACTTCTGCCATGTCAGACTGTGTAGAGCAAGAAGGAAGAGCCATATTTTCCCTAGAAATGCTGCCACTAAGTTCATAAGAAGGGCTTAGCATTTTAAGAAGCACTTCTGGTCAGAAAAGGATTACAGATACACAATAAAGACATATTCAGACATAAAAGACCTCTAAACGAGACACAATGTGTTTAAAAAAATGTACACAGGCTTGGGAGAGAGAAGAAAAACAGTAAAGAGATAGTAAATGTAGTATAAAAGAGTACAGAGTATGAATTAAAGGAGTAAGGATAATAAAATAAAATAAAATAAATATTAAAAAGTAATAGAGTAAAAACAAATAACCCATGTAAAGATGAAATATACAGAGATTCTGGACTATATATAATATTGTATTTTCTTTGAATTTTTTGACTGTTAAAGAGCTACTTAATGAATGGCATTTTATTGTATGGATTGCTAAGTTAAACCAACATAAAGGTATCATGACTTCAGAATTTGAGTCTAATGATATGTTGCTTTGGAAAAGAGGTTCTTCTTTTGATTTCACAGAGGGTGAGAACCTGTGGAATCCTTCCAGACTAATATGGTTTGATGAACCAAGACCCCCAAAGGGTTGCTGTAAACACCCCCAAAAACTACTTCACCCAACAAAAAACAGGAGGCAGTTTGGAGAAGAACTACACTCATATTCCCAAATATTGTTTATAAATGTTTCTTTACATTTAAAGAGGGATATGCTATAGAGATTAATAATTTGCATTTGTTTGGATCTTGATTTATTGATACAAATTTAAGGTCAATTTTGTAATATGTATATATCTGCTCTTGATTATTGTGTTTGTTCAGCTCATTTAAAGATGTATAATTAAGAAATATAGGTAAATAGGTAATCATCTATAATAGTCAAGCTTGTAGTCATGTTAGTTAGGTTTCCTAGATATATAGAGACATATTTCAGTTAGACAGGCATTCTTCAACTCTTTCAGAGACCTTCAGAATATGGCATTTCAAATGTTTTAAGAACTTATGACTTTTCATGACAGTGAGACAGTGAGATGTTCCTGGCAGCATCAATTACTTCAAGAGGAAGATGGGCATCAAAGAGGCTCCTTATGGAGTTGGATAGCCATTTGAGCAAGAAACTGCTCTTGCCTGGACTGCTTGATGATATGCTGTATCAACTGGACATTCAGGACCCACAGAAAAATGACTGATGAACTTGCCTAAAGGTGAGACTGTCTTTCAGAGTTCCTGCTTCATGAAAGAGTCTGCTAGATATTCTGTAGGATACAGAAGAAAGTGACGGATAAGCTGCCAATAAAGGAAAACCTCTCTTTGAAATTTTCTGCTTCATGGAAAAGTCTACTGGATACTATGGGTTAGTAGGCTGAAGATGGGTACCTGCAATGTTGCAGAATTTTGGATGTCCATCCAGGCAGTGAGATGTCTCTGTCAATTCTAGAGTTTTGGAAGTTGTTTACAATATACTTCCTGTTTACTTAGGTAATATTATAACCTTCTGGAGTCTTTGATGGAGTTGAAGAATCTGTAGCTATAATATAGTTTTTCTTAGTTATGATAAAAGATAAAGTAGATATAAATATTGTAACTGCAATTCTTGCTTGATACCTGTTTTGCTATATGTATTTTTTTTCTGTGTTAATGTTAAAATCTTTCTTTTTATTTAGACAGAAAAGTGGAGGTGGTGTGAGATTTTCCTCTGTATGCTGTGAATACCATTGGTTAATAAAAAAAACTGTCTTGGCCTGTGATCTTGGTCTCTTTTGTCTTGGCAAAACAGTAGAGAAAGTTGAGGAAAACTTAATTGAATGTTGGAAAGAAGGAGGCAGAGTCAGGGAGAAGCCATAGAGCTGCTGCCAGAGACAGACATGCTGAAACTTTGCCAGTAAGCCACTGCCACTTGACCATACACAGATTAATGGTGATGAGTTAAATTAATATGTAAGAGTTAGCAAAAAATAAGCTAAAGCTAATGGATCAAGCAGTGATTTAATTAATAGAGTTTCTGTTTGGTTATTTAGGGAGTCTGGGCAACTGGGAAACAAACAAGTGGCCTCCTTACTATAGTTAAAGAAGATAAACACAGAATTTCCTTTAAAGTCAGGGATGAGACAAGAATACACACAGTTCTCACTGTGTGGTGCTTGAAGTCTTAGCCAGAACAATAATGGCAAGGTAAAGAAATAAGAGAACAAATTTGAAGAAAGTAATTAAATTATTTCTACTTACAAATGATTAAATCATATACATAAAAGCCCCTCAGGACTTTTGCAGGAAACTTTAGACATAAATACTTTCAGAAAAGCAGTGGGATACAAAACCCACATCAAATATCAGTATATTTTCTATCTACAAACAATGATCTTGATGATAAAGAAAGAAAAATACCATCCATGACAGCCTCTACAAAGCTGAAATAAGAAAAAAAATAACAATAAAAGTCTTCCCAAACTCCAGGAATGAACCTATCCAAGGAGGGGAAGAAGTTCTACAAACAAAACTTTAAATCAACAAGGGAGGAAATTAAAAGGCACTATCAGAAGATGAGAAGACCTCTCTGCCCACAGATTGGCAGAATTACTATTATGAAAATGGTTATGTTACTTAAAACAGTCTGAAGATTACAATGATCCCCAATCAAAACTCCAATGGAAATCATAGAAAGAGGAAAAGCATTCTAAAATTCATATGTAAGCACACAGGACACAGAACCCAAGCAATGCTGAGCAAAAAGAACAAGGCCGAAAGTATCCTAATGCCTGACCTCAAATTATACCACAGAGCCATAGTGACAAAATAAGCATAGTGTTGATACAAAACCACTCATGTATGTGGGGGCCCGCAGAAGTGGGTCTGCTCCACCTTGACTGAAAGTCAGAGAGCTTAAGTTGACTCTTGTTCTTTCAAGGTTATTGACAAGAAGTCAGATTTATGGGGTGGCTATAAACAAGAGATCCTGACCTAGGATGTGGTTACTTGATATTTTGGATATTAAGACGGCCCACGGAGGTAAATCTGCTCCACCTTCACCAAAGGTCAGAGAATTCAAGCCTGTTCCTACACCTTCATTTTTAAGACAGGAGGTTTGACCCAGGGAATAGTAGCCTACAGAATGTTTGGTCTAAGGTGTGGTCGTTTCATTCCTGCCTAAACAGAATACTTAACTAAAGGATACAATTGCTTGATATTTCAAGTATTGAAACAGGTAATTGTTCTGTCTGTCCTTTGTGTCGTGTTAAAGCAGTCTTTTGCCTTCTTCCCCCCTTTTTGGATTGGGGTCTATAAGCATATAGAAAATAAACACAGGAATATTCAGTATTCACTGGATTCGCTCCCAGCTCTACCCTAAGTCTCTGTATTTCTTTGGTATCTCTATTCTTCCTACCTAATTTTTCTAATCCACATGCCTCTACCCTGAAATCTGCAAATGCCGTTGAGGTAGGACCCTGACAGATGTCACCCCAGCGTGTGGCCACAGCACATGTAAAGCAGGGAAATAGAAGAGAGAAACCAGGTGTAAACTCACATAGCTACAACCAAATGAATCTCGACAAAAATGTCAGAATCAGGCATGGGAAAAATAAAAAGAGTCTCTTCAGCAAGTGGTGCTCGGGATCTGGACGCCCACATGCCAAAGAATGAAGCTAGACCTATATCATTGAGCTGACACAAAAAAAATCAACTCAAAGCAAATCAAAGGCCTTCATCGAAGATGTAGGACTCTGAAATTGGTAATGGGAAATATCTATCATCTGCTCAGATTCGGATCTGAAAACAAAAAAGGGGGAGGATATTTGAGTGAGGGACAGAGACAGACAGGAGGTAAGGGGGCCCTAGAGGCTCAGCATGAACAATGTATAATGACGCTCATATATAATAAGGTCATAAAGAACCCACTGCCGGGGATAGAAGGATCCCCAGTGGTTAAGAGCACAGGGTCGTCTTGTAGAGAATCTGGGTTTTTTTTCCCCCAGCAACTACATTGTGTCGCATAATCATTTATAACTCTAGAGATCTGATGTCCTTGTCTGGTCTCTAAGGACACTGTACACACATGGTACAGGCAAAGCGACTCATATGGGAAAATAAAAATAAAGAAATCACTTTTAAAAAGAAAGAAATCCATTACTTTGCATGCTTACTTAAAAAAATCAAAACAAAACAAAAGCAAATACAATCCCTCCCCCCAATAAAACTGTTAAAAATATAGGCCACAACCTACTTGCTATTGATGGGGTAGGGGTAAATGTCAGTCCTGAGGGGTGTACTGCCTGCCTGATTCCATCTTGCCCGAAAGGGAACTGGGTTAGATTCCTAGCTGGGGAACCCACTGGGGCATTGTTGGAGGGAAGAATCTAACACATTTTGGTGACCAAAGGTGCTAGGGTCATTGAGAGAAGGGGGAGAGGGGGAGATAATCTTTGCTTCATTTGTTCTTATCTCTGATGACAAGCCCTAGGGCAGAGGTTAAGCTCCGGGTCTCACAGTCCCCTCATGAAGCATGCTCTCAAATAAGTCTTCCCTCTAGTAACTGGGGCTCCTACTGTTACTACTGAGTGACATCCACAGAGTCAGCTGCATTGAGAGGCTGGCCCAGGCATCAGGGTTCTATCTACAAATGCTTCGGTTAAGAATAGGCAGCCTTGGGAGCTGAGAGGGAAAGGCATAGCTAACAGCTGAGACTGCACATGCGCACATCCTAGTCTTAGTTTATCTTTCCTACACATTGTGAGACTTTTACAGGCGACATGGAGAGAGAGATTGGGAGTTTTTCTTTCCCCAGTACTGGCCCAGACTCTTTCTGGGCCTCTTCCTGTCTCTTACTCTTTTTGTAACGGGGAGCGCGGTGGATCTGAGGTCCTGGACCCTTACCTTGGAATTTCTTCAGCATCTCCCTCATCCCAGGGATGCGACACACTGTCTTCAGCTCCAAGGGGACCGCCTCTGGTTCCAACCGTGTGACAGCTTTGCTTCTGGAAGTATGCAGGGCCCACGGGAGTCAGTGTGGTCACCAGGGGCCTGCCTCCCCATCACCAGCCACCCCACACTGATTCAGAAATGAAGCATACCTGGTCAAGACTCCTCTCACTCCCTGGAAATGAAAGACACACAGGGATGAGTCAGGCCTCTGACCTCTTCCTGAAGTCAGCCTGGGTGCACAGTAAAGCGGACAGTAGAAATATTTAAGAGTTGCTAACACCTAAGATGAAGCTTCAGGGAGCAGTGAATCCCTAATCTTTACAGGAAGAAAGGGTGGCAAAATCAGTCACAATCAGAACAGGATCATGCTGCACACAGCTTACATCCATTCCCCCAAAATCCTTCTGGTTAGCTATTTTCTGAACTGATAATTCTGCCAATTGGTTCTTTTGGTAGAGTTACAAGTTACACTCTGTACTTAATGAAGACAGAATTGGGGGGGGGCATCAAAATATCTGAAGGATTTATTTGAGGTAAATGTGCACGCAAATGTTACCCTTAATGCCTTTGTAAGTGAATACTAAATGTCTGATTCTTTGATCCATCACACCAAAGCTGATCACTTGATCTGCATTGATAAAAAAGGAAGCCATTGATATTTGGTAACACTTTATCTTTTAAAAGTTTTGTGTCTGTGTGTGTGTGTGTGTGAATTACCTGAAATCTAAAGACAATCAACATAAAACTTCTTGTGAACACTAAATTATTTAACGTGTGTCATTTAAGCTTGTTGCTAGGGTGAGCTACCTGGCTCTCTAAGGCTCCCCTCAGATTCTCACGTCTTCTGCCTCAGCTCCACATTCTTTCAAGAGCAAGAATATCTAGGTGCTGGTATCCAGATGACAAGATCTCACCTCTGTCCCTTAGCCTCACATCTGGCTACACCCCAGAAGCTAGCCTCACCTCCAGCAGCCCCAGGGCTGGCCTCTGGCTCCTCTCCTCCAGCTCTTCAGCCAGTTCCTTCAGGGCCTTGTTCTGCTGGATCAGCCTGTTCCTGCTGTCCCGCAGTCTCTGCAGGGTCGCTCGCTCTTCCTCTTCTAGCCGCCTCAGTTGCAGCTGCTCCTCCTGGGCCAGAAACCCCCGGTGTTTCTCAAACTCCAGCCTGAAACGCTGTCTCTGCATCTCCACTTTCTCCTGTGGAGACATAGCAACCTGGGTCATGGAGGATGTGGAGAGGTGCCACTGGGGGGAGCGGGGCTCCTGCTTTCAAGTGTGGGGCAGTAGAGCTAGGGAGGCATGCCCAGAGTCAGGTCTGCTTTTCTCTCAAACTGACTGTTGGCTGTGTTCTAACAGCATGCAAACGCCATTTGTTTGTATGGAGGATGGGGGCCTGGCACAGCAACAGTTTGAGAAAGGCTACCTCAATTAGACAGAGATCTGAAGGCAAGCATTCCTGGATACAAGCTTCAGTATCATGGGTAAAAGAGAAGAGAAGTATGGGGGTGGGAGGTCAGTGCCATCCGCCCATCTGTGAACAGTGTCCAGCCCCCACACAATGCTAGTTACTGTTCATTCTACCAGCTACTGTATCTACTAGAAACAGCAACGGAGAGATTAAAGAAACCTGGATTTGTAACTGTGAAAAGCTTGAGATGAAGAACAGATGTTCTTTTTAGTGCTCGTGTGTGTGTGTGTGTGTGTGTGTGTGTGTGCGCGCGCGCGCGCGTGCACATACACACGTATGCGCGTGTGCATGCGTGTTCTCTTGTGTATGTGTGTATAGCGGTATATTCATCTGTGAGTACATATGTAGAGGCCAGAGATTTACTTTAGGTATCTCCCTCTATTGTTCTCCCCCTTCCCCTCATTTCTATGACTGTTTTCTACCCAAATTCTGCGATCCTTGTTTAGGCGAAGCTGGTCAGCAACTCCCAGGAATCTGCCTGTCTCTGCTCCCCAAACCCTGGCACCAAAGTTACAGGCATGTACTGCCACCCAAAATTTTGATGTGAGTGCTAGGGATTCAAATTCAGGTCCTCATGGTTGCATGACAAGCACGTTAGCCCCTGAGTCATCTCCCTGACTCTAAATGTCCTTTACTATGTGGTAATGGTGGCTCACATTTTCTGCACAGCCAAGAAAGAGTTGAGTGATGGTGAGGAGAGAGTTCTGCAACCAATCCTCCTTCATTCCATCCTTCTGCCTGTGAAAGTTACCGAGACAGGAAGAAAGACCCTGTATTTATCAAACGTCCTTTGTTGCCCATGTCTCCTGTGGACACATGGCTGACTCTAAACCATGTAGGAGCATTTGTCTTAATAGGAATCTTAGCATTGCAACTATGTTAGCATAGCCATTAGGGGATCTAGATATGAAGACTGGGGTCTTCGATGTGGGACTCTGACTTCCTAGGTCCATGGACAGGCTACAATCAAGAGAAAGTGACTTGGTTCATAAGCCTGGATATTATTAATTTGAGAATCAATGTTTAACTTCACCCATATTGGACAGTGTGATTGGAAAGGAATAAGACTTATCCCAGAAGGAAAATGTAGGGAAAAAAACAGTTCTTATAGGGGAAATAATTTGTCTATAAAGGACAACAAAAGCAAGAAGGAAATATCTAGAAAAATACAAAAAAAATATAGACAGTTATTTGTAGAAAGAGAAAAATAAGTATATCAGATATCACACAACACAATGTATACATGATATGCCTATGATTTCTAAGTTTCATATTCTGACACCACTGAGAATCTGACCTGACATCTCTGTGACACTGGTGTGGGGAGAATCTTATACACGGTAGCAGGTGTGTCCAACCCACAGCCCATGGGCAGTCTGCGTGTGTGCTGGGGGACAGCTGTGAAGGCAGCCCAACACAGTGTTAGGTCTCAGTGTCAAAAGGTTGAACCGCTGCAGCCGTGTTCAGCAGCACTCCTGACTCTGACCACTAGGTGGCGGCAGCATGCTCCAATTTGTGTCACACTTTGGAGATAACCCAGGTTCAGAAACACTGCATCCACAGGTATAAAGATTAGATGTATAAGAAAGAAAAGGGGCTGAGGTGCAGAAGAGGAATGTGTGGTTGCGTGACTGCAGACGACTGATTGTCCTTCTGTGTATAGGATGGTTGCTACTGTCTGTACTCTTGTTACATGTGTTGTGTAGCACTGGTTTTCATTCATCTCACAGATCTGTCTAGGAATCACGGATTGAGGTGACTGGCTTTTAGCAGTGAGTTTGCTGGTAAGATTTAGAAAGCAAAGCTACTTATAAGTCAGGTCATATCAACAGGACCCAAAAGGGGTAGGTTGACCTAGGAGGACACTGAGATGCTTTCTGGAGGAGATAGAGATTCAGGAATTGGAGCATTAGTGTGAGAGAGTTAAAGGTGACCGAATGATGTCTCACATCCTCAGCCTGAAAGCTCCCTCAAGCCACAGCTGTGTCCTCACCTTCCAAATGACAGTCTTCTTCCCCACGTTGGTCTCCTGCATCAGAGCCTCCTCCATGTCCTTCCTCACAAGTTCCAAAGCCGCTCGGAGCATCCTCTGTTTGGGAAGACAACAGGAGACCATTACAGGTGCGCTCTCTCAGGCCTCCAGTTCGCTTCGATGCACAGGACAAAGAGCAGCTCGGGAGTCCCGAACTGACCTAACTCAGGACTCACCAAATTCAGCAGATAGGGCCCTAAAAGTGTCTAATTATGTCACTCTTTCCAATAGTAATACAAAATGTCACAGTGTGAAGTGAAATGATACAGTAACAATAGAATACAGGTAAGGGATATACAAAATTGTAGAAGTACAATTTTGATGATAAGTAGTTGTATTTTATAAAATATAATGCCAAATTTGAAAGAATGTTTACAGTGAATTTATAAAAACTGTGATGCCATAGAGGAATTGCCATCTGTTATTGACAGACTGAAGTATGATGACATTTCTTATTACTTAAGAGCTTGTTATTCTTTTTTACACTTTCCAGTGTGTGTGTGTGTGTGTGTGTGTGTGTGTGCCCACAAGAGTGCCAGAGACACATATGGAGGTCAGAGACAACCTGCAGGAGCCAGCTATCCTTCGATCATGTGAGTTTAGGTATCAAACTCAGATTATCAAGTTGCCAGCAAGTGCCCCTACCCAAGGAGTGGAGAGGATGCACCAAAGGCTACATCTTCTTTGGGCAAGAAGGACCCTGCAGGAGGCATGTGTGTATATCTGGTTACAGAGGACACACAAAAATATGCTTTGAGAAGAAAAATATATGAATCCCACCGTGAAAGTTACCCAATAAATTCTACATGCACACACACACACACACACGACTTACACCTGAAAGGAGGCCACCATAGCGCTCTGTAAAATGTGCTTTTAAAGCCTTGGAACTTGTAGGGGTGCCTGACAAGACTGCATTGGGATTTGTTTTGCTGTTGGGACATTTTGCTCTGTCAGCCCCAAGAAACAGTGAGCCAGGCCAAGGAGGCGACAAACAGCATGGCAGGCCTGGGGACAACAGTGACAGGGCGGTTTCTGCTGGGTCTGTGTTTGGTTAGGATAAGGGCTGTGCACACTTAGCTTTAGACAGCTTTAACTGATTGGCTGAGAGGTCTAGATGGTGTTTATTTGGCATTTAACTGAAAAAGAAACTACAGAATTGTTATAGAAAACAGTATCAGAACAATATCAGAAATGTCTCCCTAGCCAAGTTCTGTGCAACATTTTCGGAACTTAAACCGGTAGGATCATAATTTTTAAATCTGATTTAAAAAATACCTCATGCCTGAATTTTTTCAAAATCAAGAGGAAGCAAGCAATAAAATCAAGAGAGATATTTCCAATGCGTTGAGGAAAATACCCCAATTAATTTTAATTTAATTTTAATTAATTAATTAATTTTAATTTTAGAAAAAATAAACCAGCAAACATTTTAAGAACGTCGGTGCTCCTTCCAACACGGTGGTTAAGCTTGCCAATGGCAGGAAAACCACACTGGCTTCCCTGGTAAGGGTTGTTCAGGAAGTTGAAAACTTAAATGTACTTAAAACGTGTCCAGCAAATTTGGAGGAAGATGAGCGAGCAGGCTGCTGCTGTTGGAGATAATTATTACACACAGAGGCTGGAAGCATAAGGGAGCCCCCTCTTTACAGAAAGTAATAACTTTGCTCTCAGCAGGGAGCGAGCCACCGGCAGCAGGAGGCCCATTGTCACCAGAGGCTGTGCTTAGCAGTTGCCCAGCCCCCGGGTTTCCCAGGGGCAAAAGCCACCGCAGCTCCGGGAAGTGTGAGCTAGTAAGGGTGGAGAGACCAGGGAAGAAAGGAGCTTGGGAGCTACTTAGGAGATTCGGTCGCACCTTTTGGATCTGTATGAATACGGCCCTTCACGTTCCCAGATCAGCCTGCCCCAGGGTCTTCCAATTTTCCACACGGGAACCTGAGCAGCGTCTCACCTGGTAGCGGCTGGCAGCCTCCTGCAGCGGTTCAGTGCGGTGGCTCTGGTGCTCAGGGCTAGTGTCACAGACCCAGCACAGCAACGAATGGTCCTCCTCGCAGAAGCGGCTCAGGTCCTCGCCGTGCCTCGCGCACTGGCGCGTCCCTGGGTGTCCTGTACCCAATCCCAGTTGCCGCACGCTGTCCACCAGACTGGCCAGCTGCCGATTGGGCCTAAAGCTGGCGGGCCTGAAGGGACTCCTGCACTGGGGACAGGCATAGACGCCGCCCTGAGCGCTGTCCGACTTCTCGCAAAACTCGGAGATGCACCGCAGGCAGAAGCTGTGGCCACAATCCACACTTATGGGCTCCTGCAGAAAGTCCAGGCACACGGAACACCGAGCCTCCTCCCGCAGTCGCTCCCCGGGTGCAGTGGCCATAGCCCTGGCCAGTGGCAGCAGCTCCTGCTGCCCTAGCGGTCTGCACAGAAGGAAGAAAACCCACAAGGAGGGGTGCAAGCCTTTGGGGTGTTATCTCCTGGGCTGGGCCGGATCCAGCAGCCAAAAAGAACCACTCGTGGTGACAGCAACAAGTTTAGTGACTGTCACCTCCTAAGAGACCCAGCATCTCTTTTTCTATTTTTTTCTATTCCTTCTTCCACTAGGGCTGTTTGAGTTCTTTAACACAATGCAGCATTTATACCTTCCTGACTCACTTTAGAGGTGATTGAAACCGCAGACAGGCAAGTCCTACCACTGAGGACCATCCCTAGTACTCATTTCACCTTTTATTTTGAGACAGGGCTCTATTAAATTTGCCTAGGCTGGCCTTGAATTCACTCTGTAGTCTAGGCTGGTTTTGAACTCACTCTGCCACCCAGTCTGACTTTGAATGCTCTCTTCCTGACTCAGCTTCCCAAATAGTCAATGATAGAAGTACACCAAGGCCAACTAAGTTGCCCTGCTGTTGGTTGCTTTATTTACTCTTTTGCTCTTTGCCCCCCACCCCTGCTACCCAGATCCCAAATAAATACACACATGGAGGCTTAATTCTTACTTATAAATGCCCTGTCTTAGCTTGGCTTATTTCTCACCAATTTTTCTTAACCTAAATTATCCCATCTACCTTTGGCCTCTGGGCCTTTTCCTTTTCTTACTTCTGCAATCTGACTTTCACTTTTACTTGGTGGATAGCTGGAGGGCTGATTACCTGAGTTTGAGCCCCCAGACACACAGTACAAAGAAGTTTACAAACTGGAGAGATGGCTCAGCAGTTAAGAGTATTGCCTGCTCTTCCAAAGGTCCTGAGTTCAATTCCCAGCAACCACATGATGGCTCACAACCATCTGAGATGAGATCTAATGCCCTCTTCTGGCCTGCAGGCAGACACACAGACAGAATATTGTAATCATAAAAAATAAATATTTAAAAAAAGTTTACTGACTCATAAAAGTTATCTTCTGGCCTCCATGGGTGTGCTGAGGCAGTGCCGCCCCTTACACACACACACACACACACACACACACACACACACAAATGAACTCTAAATTTAAAATGAACAAAGCTCATACTTTCCTGAAGCATGTGGACTCAGGGTTAGCTCTCAAGTCTGGCAGTACATGACATTACACATAAAGTTGACTTAGGGTAGTCAGCCTCATATTAGAGCAAACTGAGAAATGCCCTGTCTCATGCCACAGCCAGCCAGGGTGGAGCACACCTATCCTCCTTCTTCCCACAACTTATTGAATGGCACCATGAACTTTTTCTGTTGTAACTGCTATTTAAATATCCTACACAAAATACTTATATTTCTTTCCTTAATCTTTTTTCCTCCAAACTTGAGATTTGCTACTTTCAGAAATAAACGACCACTTGAAGGGAAGACATGTATGATAATGACAGCAATGTGGTCCAGCATGGATGAGAACAGTATAATGGGTACCCTCCTGCTCAAGGAGGACAGAGGGGGGCATAGGATCCCCTGAAGCTAGAGTTACAGGTGCTTGTGAGCCACCTGACATGGGTGCCAGGAATGGAACTGATGCCCTTGGCAAGACCTCTTAACCACTGAGTCCTCTCTTCAGCCTCTGGGATGAGCAAATCCAGCCCATGGAAGCTGCCTCCTCTTGGAACCAAGTCACATACATCCCCTATGTAACCACTTTACCCCAAGCCTCAGTCTCCCCCATTCAACAGGTGCAGGTGGTGGTTGGCATGCTTCTGCCATGTCCATCCATATGTCCCATCCCCAGCATGCACGTATTTGTTGGGAGTCTAGAGTCTCAGAGGCAGTGCTGGGGACTAAGGCACAAGGAGAAGACTGGAAATTGAACCCCATCCCTCCAGAAACCCTGTGCTCAGTTGGTGGAGACCTACTCAGAATCAGAAAACAAGGACATGTCCTGATCCTGTAGGAGCACAGCACAGGACTCCACCATGAAGCTCCGGGGGTTGGACCTCAAAGTTCTCTGAACTAACAGGGAAAAAGTGAGGGCAAGCTGGCAACAGAAAATTCCTGTTCCAGACTGTGTGGCCCCAAAGTGTCCCAGGCAGAAGGGCTGACCATTTCCAAATAATTAAGAAGTTTCCAGTAGCAGACAAGCTTGCAGGGAGCAGCCAGGCTGGTGACTCAGGACCTGGCAGAGCTTTATCATGAGATGAATCTTGGCGTGGAGCTTTGGTGGGGTAAAGGGTCAAAGTGCTCTTGGGGCCATCTGCCTCGGGGTTGAGTGGATAATTGAAACGGATTCTTCAGAGCCAACTGCAGAAAGCATTTAAGATGTGACATCAGGGAAGAAAGGGGCAAAAGGCTTAGGGAGAGCAAAGTAGATTTTGATTACAGAACGAGTGACTTGGGGCAGACTGTGCCTGTGTCTTATGCTGTATTTCACCCCACAGCCAGGGATGATGGTGCTTAAGTCTCTCTCTCTCTCTCTCTCTCTCTCTCTCTCTCTCTCTCTCTCTCTCTCTCTCT